CTTGCGGAGTTTGTTGACATCGGTCTTGGAAGTGACGGACTTAACGGGGATCTTCATGCAACGGCTATCTCAACTAGGAGTTTATAGCCAACCGAACAGGCACTTACGACTCTTTCCCGGAGTTACTATCTCTTGACTCGCAATAGGAGTAAGGTGTCGTCGTAGTGTTGTGCTGTCGGTTTGTCTTGAACTGCAGCGGCTTGGACAGCGGTGGAAGATGCAGGCGGCGGCGGACTTCGAGGTCAGCGGATGAGAGCAGCGGCTACGAAGGCAGAAGCAGAAGGGAAGCAGTCGATGTGAATCGGCTGGCCACAGAGTTGTTGGGCTCATAACCTCTCGAAGGTAAAATGGAAAGTGAATGAATTAAGTCTGGTTATCAAGCTATGTTCTAGTGAATTCCAGACTATCTGGTCCGTGCATGGTCGCGGTTGACGAAACGTAAGAAATGTAAGAGAAAGTGCAGAATAGAAATGACGAAAGGGAGCGGATGATTCTGATGGCTAATGAAATATTTCGCCATAGAAATGCATCTCATCACGGCTTCCACTCGACTGTGCTATCACCAAAATCAGAACATCTTAACATTTAAAATTTAACGTGTCGAAAAGGCTGTGGCCAAGCAGATAGAAGACGAGTTGGTAAACAACCACACGCAAGTTTGGGGCAGTTGGTGCGACAAGCCTGCACAAAAATGGAGGTTTTCCTGCTGCCATTCCAAAGTCCGAAAGAGTTACTGCACAGGCGAAGCCAGCAAGGCGGCTGCTCTCGTAGAGAACAACGAAGTAGAAACCCAGACAGCGGTGGTGGCACTGGTGCGAGAGGTCCTTCCGTAGGCCAACCCGCGCTCGTGTCGTCGTCTCGCAGCGAACTGTATGACGACGCCAAGAAAAAGCTAGTGCTGAACCGCATCAATTTGAAAGAAGCTGAGAAGATCTCAAGAAACTAGCCAGCACGGATATGGAAGCGCAAGTACCAGTAATGCTAGACCACGGTGTTGATATATCGGATGAACAAATCGAAGCGAGAAGTTCCGATGGCTCAGTTTTCTCTAGCGATGAGCTGCTGCTACAAATGTGGGACAGTGTTATTTCGACATGCACAAGGATTTCCATTGGTAGACATCGGAATATCCCTGATGCCGCTTCAAGAGTATTCAAGGTGGCCAGAGCGAGAACATTCGTGGAAGTGCATCGATATTCCAACCTGTGGCGGTGCTGCATCACGCCAGAGTATCCTGACCAATGCGTGTCACCACATTGAGTTCTTATGGGTGTGTACATTAAGAACGAAAGGAAAGTGTTCTTTGACGTCCGCGTCACAAACGTAGGTCTCTCCGTGGCCTTGTTGCTGAAAGTCGTTGATCATGATTGAGAGAGCGATACTTAATGCCTCGAATTCAATTTATGATATCAGTGCCATCTGCATGCGTTTGATTCCCTGCATAGATTTCTCGCAACGTTGTCCAGGCCGTCAAGTCGTACGAGACAATGTTGTGGGTTGAATTCCTACCGCTGTCGGACAGGTGGTGCAAGGTCTTGCAAAGCGTCCTAGTCGTACCTATCATGTCGTCGACAAGGATGCTGTTAGAACGCCTTACTTGCCCACGAGCCACTCGCACGGAAGATATTGGCGCGGGCGACACAAAGATAAATAGCAATGACGCGGGCACACTGCTAGTCGTACGAAGTACATGCATCACATCGTGCGTCACAACTCAATGGATCGTCCACGAGTTAGCACTAGAATCTTGGAGTCTCCACACGTTGGAGCCATTCGTTGCTCCAACGCATGTCGACAATATACTCGGGGACGCATATTTAGAGTCCTGGCGGATACACGACGCTTCAGGACTCGATGGGGTAGTTTAGCCCAGGTTGCAGCATTTTGAGAGCATCCGTCTAGGTTTGTGTGGCTCAAGAATTGAAAATGCACAATGAATAGATGACGGTGTCTTTGATTCGTTTACCATGAAGTACTTCCTTCGGGTGTGAAAAGGCGTCTCCATCGACGATGTACATCGTATTTCTAGTGTTAAATATGACGATGTAGATCGTCCCATATTTGATGCAAAAGGTGCGGCCATCAAGTTATCCTTGCTAGACCGCGGATTGTCGACCGAAAGGACTTGACATCGAACCTTTGACCATTTTGCCTAGAGACGCTTCACGTCTCTCAAACAATTAAACATATTTAAATGCGCAAGACTCTCCTCTTGAACGACGAAAAGCCGCGACGTGTCCAAGTGTCCGAGCCAGTCGTCGCCAAGCCGCAACCCACGACGAAGAAAGCCAAGCCGATGAACGTCTAGAAACCGTCTAAAACTCACAACTCGTCGCGTCCACCAACCAGTCGTTCGACAACCAGTTTGACGACCTGGACACTCCCTTGTCCATCTCCATCCCCCACTTTGCACACCGCCACGATAGCCTCCCCTGCTTGACCTCCTCGGGTGACGGCAGAAGCATGTCATGGTGTTGCAGGCGAGATCAAGCATATCCCCCGGGCGTCAACATACACGAAGGAGCTCGAAACACCCTTGATCAGTAAGCAGCAGGACTTTGAGGCCACCTCGCACGAGATGCTCTAGCAGCATGGCGCCCACTGCAACCAGCACGAGGCATGCGACCTTCCAAACAACATGAATCACTGTTCGTCCTTCACGGCTTCCTACCGCAACGTTACCTTCTTCGTAAGGCAAATCCAAGACTGTATTACTTCAGAGGGCGAAGGGGCTACGAACTTCGTGGCTACTGACTACGGCCCTATAGTAATACTACACAACTAGGTCATCCACAGTACTACTAGTACCACTAGACTGCTACCGTGGTTTGCAGTGGGTCAAACGATCGGGCGATCCAACTGCTCTGCAGCACAGAACACTTCCCTCCTCTAAGGGAGACCTAGGTTGGCCATCATGTCCGCGTCATGATCTTCGTCCTTGTGAGCAGCGCACCACTTGCGCAGCACAACTGGGATGTCTTCAAGAAAGTTGTCGACCGGCTCGCAGGATGATTCCTCGGCATCCAAGCCGAGCCACTTGACACGGACATCGTAGCGGCCATTTGCCGCTACCCGCGGCTCTTCCAATCGCTCGACGTGGAAGCCACCGTTTCCAAATGCAATGTGCTCAATAAGGTCTTCCGTGACCTCGCGTCCACCTTCATGGTACATCTTCATGCGGTAAGCGTGGTGCGTCGACAACCCATAGGGTGGCACCAACTCTTGCGTCTCCATAACGTGGTCCGTGATCACACGGACGACTTGCTGTGACCCACGCCACTGCAGGGCAAGTTTCGTCGGCCGTTGGACAACGGTGCCAACTAGGACGAAATCGCCCTCGGCTAAGTTAGCAAATTTGACGCGAGTTTTCTTGTCGCTGCGTGTAAACACGTCTCGATGCAGCTTGTCCATGGCGATCTTGAGCTTCGCCATATGCTTGTCACGGACATCATCAAGCATCTCCATGCAGACAACTTCCTTCGTTGCAGGGTGTACAAACCCTGCTTGTGATGTCTTCGCCTGCAAACCCGTAAACGCCGTCACGGGCGCGACACCACCGAGCCTGTCGGACGGCTGGTGATTCAATGCGCCTTGCACCAGTGGCAGAACGAGATGCCACTCGTTTGCGCGCAACTTCATCTCGCTGAGCAAGGCTTTCAGCGCCCACTTCGTTCTTGAAGTGGGAGCCGCCATCAGAGACCCACGTGTCAACACACCCGTACAGCGTGAACCAGGACATCAACGCTGCCGCTGTGCTTGACGCGTCCGCAGCTTCAGCTGGGCATAAGTGGACAAACCCGCTCATATCGTCCTTGCTAACAAGGACGTGTTTGAGTCCTCTTGACGACTCTGGCATCGACAGCCAGTCGAAGTGAATCAACTCATTTGGCTTCTCGGCGTGCAAGGCCGAGCCCAAGGGTCGAGGAACCATATCTCCGTCCACTTGGAGACAATGCAGGCACGATCGAACAAATGTGTTCACGTCTTGGACCAGGGTGGTCCAAACGAACATTTCCGCCACCGTCTTCGTTGTCGCCGCAATTCGACGGTGACCTGCAGCGCAATGGTGAGCAATTACGCAAATGCGTTGCTGCAGGTCCACTGCACCGTCTGGCACCCAGATTCGCCCGTCTGGGTCCTTGTAGAAAGCGTCGTCTTCACTCCATGCCACACCGGGTGGGATGGACTCCCCCCGTCCATTGATGATCGTTGTTCGTCCAAAATCGACGAAGCCGTCGGCCATTCGAAATCAGCCCGCTGCAGTGGCGACACCACGTGCAGCAGCTTGCGCACATGCGCCCACAGGTGGCGCAGATGGCGCGGAGCCCCAGCGACTAAGCAGGTCGCCCCACACGTTCACGTCCCCGGCAGACATTCGATTGAATGTGGGAATGTCGACAACACCAACGCCCACCGTTGAAGCTTGTCAGCCTGGTACTTGGCAAGGTTGCCGTTCGACCCATGAGGGTAGAACATGTAGACGAGGTTGCGGTGGTCCGTATACAGACGGAACCCACCAGGCCGTATCACCAGGTAGTCGAGCCGCTTGCAGGCCTCGACGACGGCGAACGCCTCCTTTTCGACAATTGGCCACCGCGCGCTGGCACCACTAAAGGTGCCGCTGAGAAACGCCAGCGGTTCGTGGCGTTGCTCCTCCAAGGGCAAATTCAAGTCGTCTGGCGGTACTTGCGTGGCCACCGCGCCCCCAGAACTGATCGCTTGCGTCAGTAAATACGCACACCTCCATGTCAACACGAGGGTGTGACAGGGCACCACGTGCTTCAACGCGGTCGTCACGTTCTCGAAACACGCGGCATGGTCGTCGGACCATCCGACGGCCGCGAGCTCAACACGCGCCAGGGCTGTTTTCTTGTTACTTGTCGCAGCCTTGGCGGCCACATCCATGAGGCGTCGGAGAGGGTCGATCACCCTGGTGTAGTCTGGGATGCTGGCACGCATCCAATTCGTAGCGCATACGAACTGCTGCAAGTCGGCAGCCGTTATGGGGGGTGCCAGATCGACCAGACTTGACTTCGGCTGGGAGAATGCTTCATGCCAGCCGCCAAAATCACCTTGCCGCACCATTCGGCTTCGCGTAGGAAGAAGTGGCACCTCTTCTGGCTGAGCTTGAGCCCGTACGCAGCGCAAATGGACAGAACTTGGTCCAACAGGACAAACAGGTCTGCGGTCGTCTTGGCGGACCCAAGGAGGTCGTCTAACCATGCCAGCAGGCACGAAACAAGAGGTCGCCGAACATTTGGTGCACCACCGACTGACAGCACGCCACCGCGTCAGTCTGTCCCATCAGCACGCGAGTCGGCGTGTAGACGCCGAAAGGGGTCATGAAGGAGAAATACTCCTGCGAGTCTGCGTGCAATGGCAGCTTCCAGTACCCCTTGGTCCAGTCAAGGGTGAAGTAGACGCTCGTTCCTTCGAGGCAAACTAGGGCACTGTCCAGGTTGGGCATGGGCCACGGCATCGGGTCCGTGCAGGCGTTGATAGGACGACTATCGATCGTCATTCGCAGCGCCCCAATTCCTATTTGGGCACAATGCGAGGCGCCGCAGCCCACGTCGAACGGTTTTTCTTGTAAACCATACCATTCGCTTCCAGTGCCTCCACATGCTCGCGCATGTACTCCACGTGCGCCGGCGGGTAACGTCGCATGATGCACTTCACCGGCGTTGCATTGGGCTTGATCCGCACCTTTAAGGGTTCGACTTTCACAGTCGGATCGTTACCAAGGTCTTCGCGGAATACATCTACGTGCTTCATTAGCAACGCCGTCAGTCGTTGCATGTCGTCGGCGTCGAGTCCACGCCGTTGAGCTTCATTCACTCTGGCTATAAGCACCGCCAGCACACGATCGCGTTTCTCGCGACGAACTTCGTCACTGTCCCCGGTAAACTTTGGGTCCACGACTTCGGCCGTGGCACATTGCATGCCATCGTTGTCATCGATACAGGGATCGGGCGGATCCTGTTCTCGGCCATCAAACGATTCACACGCGCCATGTTGGATGGAGAGACTTCCACGCCGTCGGACACGTCCCACTCCGACTTCTGCCGCCGCGCTCCGACGAGCAGGTCGTCTACTGAGAACCCGAGCACCTCCATGACGGGACGACTGATATTTAGGTCGATCGTCGAGGCAGTGTCGTCGATCCAGGCCTTCAGTCCGCGCAGAACGAGCGGACCGCACGTCGTCTCAAGCGTCACCTTGCCAAACGTGGCACGCCGCGACATTTTCAACGGCGCAGCTGTCTCTCCATAGGGGAAGACGAGCTGTGGCTTGGCATGTTCCACGACGTCCACAGCGATGCCGCCCGTTGCCAGCGCCTCCATAACGCCGCGCGAAACGACGTTTACGTCTGCCCCCGTGTCAAGTAGGACGTTCTCGACTCGGACAATGTCTTCCACGTGCGCACCGCGATCTGTCGAGCGGCGATTAGACTTGTCCGCCAGCACGTTGATCCTTTCTTGGCCAGCGCGTCTAACAGACATTGCGCCTCGCCAGGCGCACACTTCGGGCATTCCGCAACACGGTGACTCATCTCGCCGCATTTCAAACATACGCCGCGCCGCTTCTTGGCGCTGCTTCGCCTCTGACGCTGGAGCTTTCAGGCTTGTCCGACGGCGGTATTTTTGGCAAGCTCTTCGCGCCGCCGTCGCTTCTTCTACCGCGACTGCTCCTTTCACCATCCGTCTTTGACGTCGGCGCAACGACAGACTCTTCTTCTAGACCGACGTACAGCTGGAAACCGGCAGAAAACTGCCGAAGCCAGTTCACAAAGCGAAATACGTCGCTTTTCAAGCTCTTGTTTCGCTGGAGCTGTAACTGCTTCTGTACAGCACTCTTCAGCGTTTCAGGTAGGATGGCACCCCCCATCCTATGCCATCACCTCGACTACGACCTTGCCTTCTTGGTGGAGCACCGTTCTTGGTGGTCGTGCTCCAGCACCCGCATAAGGTCGTCTAGCATACGACCGACCCTGGACTCGGCGTCCAAAATCTTCATGTCGAATCGAATAGCGGACGTCAGCCGCCTCTTCAGGACGTCCAGATCCTGAGGGTTTTCTTCGAACGCCGCGTGAAACCACGCGATCCACTCAGTTTCCGTAACAAGGTTGTGATCCTTGTTAAGGTCAAACATGGCGATCTGTCGCTTCGTGAACGGATCCATGCACGCACCAACTGGCATCGATCAAACGGGCGCGATCTAGCGCATTGGGGCGCGTTGATCTGCGCCAAGTATTTTTGGTACTCGCGCATAAAAACGCACCGCTCAGATTTTGTCGATCCCTTGAAAGTCGGAGGTTGTAAATTGGCGGAGCGTTCCACACTTGACCGCGGCCATACCCGTGGTCACTGCCCATGTCAACGTCGTCCATGGGCTGGTCACTTCTACCCGTGGTAAAAGCTTCCGCCTCTTCGGCTGCCGCGGCTCTTCCATCGGCCGCAGCTGTCACTTCAGAGTCTTCAACGGATGGCGCCGAAGCCCGTCCGTCGGCCTGCGCTGGGGTAAACGGGTGCCCACCACGCGGTGGTAGCCACTCGTCAACATGACGTGGCTGCCGTCTTCTCGGGGAACGAAAGGGGTTCGTCACGTCTCGGCGCTCCTGGCGCCCACGTGGCTGCTCGTTGCGGTTTCGCGACCTCGAGCGCCGTTCGTCTCTTGTCGTGTGGTCGCCATCAGGCGAGCCTTCACGAGGCATCTCCGAGGTCTTGATGCTGTTAAAGCTGTTAACTACTAAAGAATTCTATGTTGGTCCGTCACGGCTTCTGACCGCAAAGTTGCCTTCTTCGTAAGGCAAATCCAAGACTGTATTACTTCAGAGGGCGAAGAGGGCACGAACTTCGTGTCTACTATCTACGGCCCTATAGTAATACTACAACTAGGACATCCACAGTACTACTAGTACCACTAGACTGCTACCGTGGTATGCAGTGGGTCAAACGATCGGACAACCCAACTGCTCTGCAGCGCAGAACAGTCACCTCGCGCCGTCGTTGACCCCACCGTCTTCTATCTCGGTTGCGACGAATCTATGCATGACGAGAGTACAATCGGGAGCTATAAACTGTACGATATGGCCCCGTGCATCGACATTGACAGCAACGGTGTAAGGGCCGCAGTGACGCAAGTACTGACGTGTGCGTGATCGATTCTCAAAGGATAGCTAACTGACTAACACGCAATGCATTCTGGAACTTACCAAGGCGCCCGCAGGTTGCTACAATTGGTAGCACTTCTTGGTTCAGTGGACAAGGGACAAGCACTCCGTCGTTAGAAGGTACACGAAGGGTCCCACGCCAGCTTCGCGCCACCCCACGCTCCCTCAGCTCTCGGAAGGAGATTGGGATTGCCTACGGGGCCATTTCGATTGTCGATCTTCGGACTTCGCATTGCGTCGTAGGCTAGTGGTTGACCATTTGTGTGTACTTTCTCGGCCATGTCCCTTCCCGCGGATCTGACATTATTGCTGTCCCAATTAGCAAACACCGTACGCAACCATGAAGCCGTCCTCTAAGCCATAGCAAGCAGCCAAGTGACCCAACTCGAAACTCAAGCCCAGATTGCCCGAGCCCTCGCCAATTCCGAGGCCACCCGGAAGACGAATGAAGACGCCCGTGCCGCCGCCTCGGCACCCGTGCGCGTTGAAGGCCTCCGCTTGCCCGAATATCACGGCCGTGTCGGTGAGAGCGTCGATCTGTACATCCACCGTGTCAACACGTTCTTTGCCGCCAAAAACATCTTTCCGGGTGCCGATCTCGCCACGGAACGGCGTTGCCTCGCGATGGTCGTGGCGAACTTGCAAGGTCTCGCGGCGTCGTGGTACCTCAAACGTGTCGCTCGGTCGGACGTGTCAGTCTCACTACTTGAACACGAGGCACTGCGGGCTGAGTTTGAGCCGCCGGACTTGCAAGAGCGGCTGCATGACCAGCTGTATACGAACCGGCAGAGCGACTGCGCCGACTTGCTCGAGTACATCGCTTCCGGGGTCTGACGTGCCAAGTCAAGGACATGTCCAACCTCGACAAAACGATGCACTTCATGCGCGGTCTCAACGTTTGAACGCGCGAAGCCGTTCAGTATCGCCGTCCATCCACTACCACGTTGGCCATCCAATGGGCCTTGGAGTTTGAGTGCGCCCACAACACGACTCTCCGTCACAATCAGCCAGCAGCGGTGCTGCCCAGAGGTTCTGGTACAACTGCTGGTGGGACACCCGAGGGATCCCGGGATTTGCCATCGGCGGCACCGGTGCAGCCGGAACCCGATCGTGATCCGTATGACATGGAATACGACTTCGTACGGGCGAACCGCGCTCGCGACACAGAGCAACGCCGCTGCTACAACTGCAACCGCCGGGGCCATCTCCTCGCAACTGCCGTAATCAGCGACGTGGCTCGTCGCCGGGGCGCCGGGCCAGGTGTGACCACACGCAAGCGCACATGTCCAAGTTGGAAGTCGAGCCGACTACAGCCCCTGCCGACGATGACGACGAGAGATCGTGGGGTATGGTGTGAACACGGCGTCGAGGCAAGACGAAGAACGTACGGCGTCCAAGGTTTCACGCGCGCACCACTTGGTCATCAAGAAGGGCTATTTGGATGGCCTGCCAGTCCGAATTCTGCTTGACTCCGGCGCAACGGACATCCTTATCCGACCGAACTTGGTGTCGTTCGATGTCCTCAAGACGAATCATGTCACGATGGTCGGCTTCGACGGTCTGTCTCGCCCAGCAACCGAAGTGACCGACTGCATGGTCTCGGTGGATTTCGAGTCCGACTTGCCGGGCCAAGGTTTCACGGCGATTTTCACTACCTGTAACCTGGGGCCCAAGAACTTCGACGTCATTCTTGGCAAGCCGTGGTTCCATGACTTCAATCCGGTCATCGACTGGCGCCCGCATGCCATGTCAACTCGCAATCGGCGGTGCCCGCAATCCCATTGCCGAATGCCGAAGACTTGTTCAACCGCATAGCCGGCTGCCGGATCTTCACTAAGATGGATCTCGTCTCGGGCTACCACCAGATGCTCGTCGTGCCTGCCAGTCGGAAGCATACGGCGTTCCGGACCAACCGCCAGACGTACCAGTGGTGTGTCACGCCCATGGGTCTCGCGGATATGCCGGGTAAATGGTCGCGGTGTTGAGCCACATCGGCGTGAAATATTTGATCCACAAATCAAATATCGCCTTAAGGCCACGTCATACATAATCTGCCCATTCTGCATGTTCCATGAGCCTTGCGCAAGTGAAGGCTAATGGAAGCCACATCGCTCTAGCGCTGCCTAATGCAGAATTTCTAGAAAGCGAACATTCTCGTAGTCTACCTTAACCTCGGCTTAATCAATCACTTTCCATTTTACTCTCAATTGGTTACGAGCCCAAGTAACCTCCGCCGCCTCCGCGTCTGCCCTCACTCTTGCCGCCTTTCCAGCCGCCCGAGTCCCGCCGCCGAAGCCCAGCCAAAACCGCGTCAAGAACCTCCAAACCACCCCGGAACCCCCAAACCCCGCACTTAGCCGGAATTTTCTCGCACCTTACCGGGTTTCCTGCCGCCGCCGTCCAAGCCGTCCGCCAGCGTCCCCAACGTCCCTCCGACCAGCTCCACATCACTACAGCTCTACCTGTTCTCCTTTTGTGAGTAAACGGGGCAGTACCTTTATTTGGAAAGAGTGCGAGTCTGGATTGGCACTAAACTCCTAGTAGGGTTTGCCATTTTATGCGAAATCCCGTCAAGTCCCTCGTAAGTGCGACCGAAGGGAACAAGTTGCGCAAGTAGCGTCAAGTCAAGGCGAAGAAGACCGCGCCGTTGAAGAAGGTTTTTCGTCGACTCAAGCAAGACACCAGTGCCGATAAAGTCCAGCAAGACCTTGTAGACGCACTTAATCGGGTTGAGCGAATTTCGAAGCATCTCCAAGAAGTACTTGTTAAGGATTTTTCCCATTCCGACTCAAGGCCGTCGACTACAACAAGTTCCACTTTCGAACTTTCTCCCTGCTGATCGAACAAGCCACCGACCTCGTGGACAAGTCTATCTTGAACGAAGTCGACAACATCTACAAGGCCAAGCTTCTGCCCATTATCAAGTCTCGCGGTTACAACTAATCTCAATTAATTAGTTGGTTTTCCACTACATTCATTGTCCTGAACCATGGATTTCAAACATTTTGTCCACGTGTTCAACGGAAAGTCGTTCAATGAATGGGAGTGTCGACTCAATGCGTACCTCGAATTCAAGGAAGTCCTTGAAGTTGTCGATGGCACTATGCCTCCAACTCATGCTGACTTTATCTCCAAGAACCGTCTTGCCCGAGCCATTATCCTGGCAGGTCTTGACAACCACCACGTCCGCATGGTTTCCAAGCAACCGACTGCTGCGTCCATGATGAAGCTCCTCAGCGAACGCTACGGCACCAAGTCCTTTATGGGCGAATCCTATCTGTTTCAAAACCTGATGGAGATTCGCATCCGCCACAACGAATCTGCCCGTGCGTATTGCGATCGTTTCAAGATCCATCTGGATGAAGTACTCGATGCTGGAATGACCATCGACGACAAGCTCCAAGTTCACATCTTCCTGAACAGCCTCGATGAGCGGTTTGAATCCTTTATCAACTTTCAAGCCCATGTCTTTCAACACGGCGAAGTCATCGATGCCACGACGCTGCCCAAGTTGTTTTGCTGCAATTATTCAAGAGGAGATCCGGAGCTCTTATTGGTCTTCTGATGCAGCGTTGACGACAACTTCGCGTCGAAACCAACGATCCCGCCCCTGCCTCAGCAACCCTGACGCCCCCGTCGTCTGCAGCTACTGCAACATACGGAACCTCACTGAGGATGCTTGCCGTCGCAAGCGTGCCGACCAGCAGCATTCCAACAGTAGTCAACGGCAAGTTCAGAACAACACGGCTCCGCCTGCGGATTCTGCTGCACCTGCCTCGTCGGAACGCCCCCGTGGATCGTCATCTCAAGTGTCGTCTGGCCCCAATTGCCTTCGCCATGGTCAGCCTTCTGCCAACCATGTCAGTATGCTTGCCAATGTGAGTCACTTCACACTACAATCCTCCGCTCCACTTCCTGACGTCTCCTCGGAATGGATTATGGATTTTGGCGTTTGGGTTTAGGGACACTGACTGGCGAGACTGGAGGGACCTATGCTCAGACTGTAGAGACCCATTTTGTTATCGGAGGGACAGATGCTGAGGTTGGAGGGACACATCCCAGCAAACAGGTAAACAGGGTATGTCGGGGCAGCACTGCTAGATTCGTTTGTCTTTGCGGTCGGTGGTGGGACAGAACGTGGATCTCCCCGCAACTTGTCCTGCTTGGTTGCAATGGTGGCAGTTGTCTTCTCGTCTTTGTCCACGGCCACTACCTGTACCACGACCGCGTCCGCGACC